GGGGCCAGAAATTATTAGTAGAAAGTCGTCAACAAAGCCGCTATTTTATATTCATTTTGTTGGATATTGGGATATACAGTTGCAAGAAAAAGTTTGTGAACCCTTTGGAATGATATGCATTTCTGCACAAATTGGTCATAAAATGTGATCTGATCATCATCATCTAAGTCACAACAATAGACAATCACAGTCTGCTTAAACTAATAACACACAAAGAATGAAATGTTGCCATGTTTTTATTGAACACACCATGTAAACATTCACAGTGCAAGTGGAAAAAGTATGTGAACCCTTGGATTTAATAACTGGTTGAACCTCCTTTGGCAGCAATAACTTCAACCAAACGTTTCCTGTAGTTGCAGATCAGACGTGCACAACGGTCAGGAGTAATTCTTAACCATTTCTCTTTACAGAACTGTTTCAGTTCAGCAATATTCTTGGGATGTCTGGTGTGAATCGCTTTCTTGAGGTCATGCCACAGGATCTCAATCAGGTTGAGGTCAGGACTCTGACTGGGCCACTTCAGAGGGCATGGGATCAATCCACCCTGACATACACCTTCTTGACGTCGATAGAGAGCAACAAGCTCTGGGTAGCAGAAGTTCATTAGAGGTATATTAATTTAATCAACTGTTATTTTTGGCCTTGTGTCCCAGCACGAACCCCACCTGGTCAGGGTGTGCTAGCCCCTGTAGAAGTGGTTGTAGAAGCTTGGCCACAATTTTGGTAGATAATTTCAAATAAATGTTAATCAGTGAAATAGGGCAATAGCTTCCACAGTTAGTTGGGTCTTTCCCATGTTTAGGTATCAATGTGATGTAAGCCTCTAGAGCTGAGTGAGGCACGGCCACACATCACCTAGTGTACAGTAAAAGCTTTTTGTGATTAGTAGTTTTCATTTGATCTTAGTGTTTAGTGTTAATTGTAGCTCTGATCTTTTTTTTTCTATTAGTTTATTATAAAAATCAAAGGAATGGTTATTCTTGTGTAGATTTTCAAGCTCTCTAATGTCTTGTATAAGGGATGCTGTCTTAGTTTCTCTAGTTTTTTTTGTTTAGAAGTTAGACAATGAGGATGCCCCTTATCACACATTTGTGTGACACCCATGTTGTAGTGGGTGATAAAGACAGTGAGGAGTTCTCCATAAAATAGTGTCAGAGGGATTCCTCCATCTTTGTGGATCGTTGAATATTAAATCATTAAGTTTCCATTGTAAATTTTTTATTGGGAGGGAAGGGATCAGCACGGTAAGAGACAGGGGTGCGTGGTCCGACCACATGATAAGGCGATAGGCACATGACTGAATCAGGTGCAAAAACCTGTGGGGCAGAAATAGCATATCCAATCTAGAATATGTGCCTGTAGCTGGACAATAGAAAGAATAGTCTTTCATGTGAGGATGAATTATACGCCAACTGTCAAACAGTTGAGCTTGGTCTAAACTTAATTAATCCTTTTACTCATGGAGGCGTGATAAGATTGTGTATTGGAGTAAGTATTTAATTTAGAATTAAGGGTGACATTTAGATCTCCTCCTAAAATCAATATCCCTTCAGTAAAGTGTTCAACTGAACAGGGAAAAGGAAAGGGTAGCTGGAATAGAAGAGAGGGGTGAAAGAAAGAGAGGGAGGGGTAGGAAGATTGGAGGAAAGGAGATGGTGAGGGAAGGGAAGTGGGGAGGAAGGAAGAGGATGGGGGAGGGGAGCTATATGATGGGAAGTAAAGGGGATGAGGGTAAAAAATGGTGGTGGTGAGAGAGTACTCAGCGACCCATGGACTGTAAACGTAATGAATGCAGTATAACAGTAATGTCTATAAGTAAGCTGGCTGAAGTATATATAACATTGTAGTGCGCTGACAGGAAAAATTTTGGTGTTGTAAACTTTTATATAATTGTATAAATACTTCAAAGTCCCTGATAAAAAGCCAGTGCCAGATGTGGTCCAGGTCTCATGATGATGATGCACTGCAATTCTTCCAGTTCCTTTAAATGAGAACTTTATTAGGACTTAATAGCATTTCAGGGAGTTGTCGGGCCACAAGTAGAGTTGGTTGGATCTCATCTGCTTTTTGGATACATATGGCCAAAGTTGCCTTTATGGTAGTTGTGAAGAGAGGTGAGGTTGGTATGGATCATATCAATCCTCTACTTGTACTTCGGGTAGGTTCAGGGCTCGGAGGAATGGTGTGACATCTTTCACAGATGATATAGAATACATAGAACCTTTGTGGGCAATGATAAGAGTCACACTTATTACTGTTGCACAGATGGCTGTAATCATCTTTAAAGCTTGTCTGGCCTGGAGAGTCATCCATGACAGGTCTGGATAGATTTTGATCGGAGTATTAGGGAAAAGTAGCGAAGGGGAGGATTGGCGTAGAGTGTGCATAATATCCTTTTTAAGGAATAGTATGTAGTCTACAAATAATATCTCTTGGCACATCACGTTTTTGTTATAATCACTAATGTGCCTGGTCCAGGAGTATGAGAGTATCAACAGGTTTGTCTAAAATCAAATTAAAGAATTCCTTCAGAACTTCATTAAGGTCTTCATGGTTTTGTTCAGGCAGTCGGCGGATGGGCGGATTATTAAGCCATCCAGGGTTATCAAGATCATTGTTGTTGTTTTACCTGAGAGTAAAGCAGGTCTCGACCATCCTTTAGGTTGCTCACTGTATTTCCAATATGGCAGATGTCCGCACTGTGATCCTTGTTTGCAGATAGCATGGTCCTTTAGTTTTCATATAATCCAGGATATTTTATTGGCAAGTCCACACAGCAACACAACTAAAACATAAATATAACAGGTTTCCCCTTTAAACAAAAACCTAGCTTGTCTGAGCACTGACACTTTTAATATCACTCTCTATCAGGGTTAAACTAACAAAAACATATCGTTGGGTTGCACCAACCTTATTAAATAGCAACACTCTGCTCTCCTTTCTGCACTCCAGTGTGCTCAGCTAGCCTGCTGCTTTCCTTTCTGCACTCCCAGTGCTCCAAGCCACCCTTAACTGCTTACCTTTCTGCACTCCCAGTGCTCCAAGCCAGCTTTGACTGCTTCCTTCTGCACTCCCAGTGCTCCAAGCCAGCCTTGACTGCTTCCTTCTGCACTCCCAGTGCTCAGTTTCCTTGACTCTCTCACAGGAGAGAACAGCATCTCTCCTACCTGCTTCCAAGGAGGAAGTAGGCAATCCCCATTTACCTGCCTAGCAGGGAGGGGTTTATTCCCACTGCTGCAGCTGATTATCTGCAGCTGAGAAGTGGGTTGGAGACAGATCAAAACTCTGGCCTGGAGGTTATTTCTCCCAGTTGTATGTAAACTGCGGAGTGGAGCATTGGCCCACCCTGCTCTCCAAATGCTCCACCCCAGGGCAGTGATGTATTTTTATATGTGGTATTGTGGGAGGCAATCAAAAGGCAAAATAAAACAAGCCCTAAAATTGACAGAGGGCTACAGGATCTGGGAAGGGAAATATGCAATAATAACCCAACTCTACAAAGTGGATTGAAATTAAGCATACGGAGATCGGATAAGAAGTAAACTGGTAACATTTTGGACTGATCCAGCCCTTATTAAACCTGAGTGAATTTAACAGATATTTTTTTTTATATATATATTTTTTAAAAATCTTAGTTAATCTTTAAAAATTGATACTTTTTGGGGACGGGGCCTGGCCGCCGAGCTGGGTAGATGTGGGGCACCTCGGCTCCCTGATGCACCCGCAATGACCAGCTTATAAATGCCCTCTCTTGCCTGTAAAATCCTCAGCTGCCACGAGAGAGCAAAGGGGACCCGACCAACAACCTTCGGGGCAAGTATCAGCCCCCACTCCGCTGGCGATGTGGTCTCGTGGGCGAGTGGGGTTGCAGCCTGCAGTGAGGCCCTGGCGGGAGAATCGGACGATCTCCCGTGCTTGGTCCGCTGCCTGCAAAGGGCCGGGGGGTTATCCCTGACCCCACCGGGGACGCAACGCTCGTCCAGGGCATCTAGGTGGCAGGAAGACTAGCTGGGGACCGCATGGGGGAAAAACTAAGATGGCCGCCGCGCTCATTGTGAGACGAAGTGAGGGGGAAGTACCAAAGCAACGGCAGACAGACGAAGTGCTCCTTCCACCCACAGGATAACTGTATAAGGGATATACTCCACAAGCAAGCCCAGTTCAGCATTAGAACACTCACACCATCAGAGGCATTATCTCATTAACACCAGCGGACATAAGGGGGCTATCTGGACTTTGACCCTGCCTGAGTACAAAGGAACAATGAGAATGGGGAATAAACCTTCACTCCACTCCTGACTGTCAAGCCCCAACACACTGAAATAACCAGCTAGAATCACAGATTTAGCACAGCTGCAGGAGGGATCAAGTGGCTTCTAACCATATATGCCTAAAGTTATAACAGACTATGGTGTACCTCTTAATCTAGCAGCTCATCTACAATATTAATGTGTGTCTTCATAGCAGACTCTTCCTGCAGTTAGAAAGTAATTAAAATGTCTGAGCTTGCTTGTATGTCCGACGCTCTGCTGCCCCCTGGTGGTTAAACCTAATTAACAAAGAAAATAAAAGATAGTGGGTAGGCGCTTCACAAAATTGGAAATATAATAGATAAAACAAAGTGGTTGATACAACAGTGTTTCCCAGACACTAGATAAGAGTAAATATAAAAAGAAATGTATATCAAAACCACATAAAAGAGGATCAGCCCAAAAACAAGTGAAGTGGTAGAAAACAACCATAAAATACAACCTGTACGTTGAAGAATGGCAGAGTGTTATCTACAAAATATAAATACAGAACATAACATAGTGTATACTGTATATAACAAATATATGTAGAAATAGAAGGTGGACAACCACTCACATTTACCAGAGCCGTACCAGGCTCTGTGTAGCAGGCTCAAAGGTGCCAATTCAGGCTAACAGGATTCCAGATAATAAATGGAAAAATTCCGTAGTAAAAAAGATATTTATTTATAAAAAATAATAATAAACAAACTCCTGGTTATAAGGGGGTGGAACCCAATAACAGATCTGTTATTGGGTTCCACCCCCTTATAACCAGGAGTTTGTTTATTAGATAGCCCAAGATAGCCGCCCTGGGTGAGTACTGTTGTGCAGTGGGCCAGCCAGGTGATACAGACAGGCAAATTTCAGTCCATTCCTGGAGGCGGTGAGTACAGGCAGATCTCCACGTCTTTTCTGACAGGACTTGCTCTTTAGGGCCTTGGGTTTCCTCCAATGCGGGGATCTATAGAAAGCCCTCCAGCTGCGTTGTGGATGTGGTCTTTGATGTCGGTGCTTGATTGCCCTCGATCCGCGGGGACAGCTCATTTTCGGGGTATGATGTGCCAGTCGTGGGTTGTCGCGGTCCATCTTGGCCCCTCTCAAAGCTGTCGTAACCTTGTGCCTCTCCTCCCTCCTGTGTGCCTGCTGGTTTGGGCTGGTTGTGCCCCTTTTATAGGGCTGTCGCGTGCGTTGTCTCTTGGGTACTCCCGGGGGCCCCAGGAGTTAGTTTCCTTTTGCCGTTGCTCTCCGCAAGGCCTGGCCTCAGGAGGGGTCCTTGCAGGTGCCGATCTCTCGTGGTTGTGCGTTGGGAGGGGGTTGCTGCATCTCCCCGCCTGGGCGCCAGTGGAGTGCTCTGTAGTGATGGAATAGACGGCCTCCCAGGCACCGAGGATATCATGCGGGCTTCCAGTTTATCCCAGAAGGCATTAAAGATGCTAGTCAGCCGTAGCTCAGTTTTCCGCTATGCGTTGTGTGGGTCTGCCGTGTAGTAGGCGTCCGCCATTTTGGAGGCCACATAAGCGGTCAGCTCTGGGCCCCGCGGAGCCGGCACTGGCCCATTACTTTGCTGGGGGATCAGGGGTAGACCGGGATGACCCCCACCGGTCTAAAGGGGGGGAATGAGGGCTTGCATCCAGATATCCAGCGTGGTGTTGCAGCCGGGGAGCAGCTGTCTCCCCTGTGCCTCCCATGCTTGTAGACCTCACGGTGATTATTTCATGGTCCGTCGCTCGAGAAGTGTCGATCTGTGCACTTCAAAGTCCTCTCTCGCGTGGTGGCCTTGTGGTCTCGATTGAGGGCCGGTGTGGTTGTGGAAATCAGCTTTAATTGCCAAGTTTAGCAGGAGCTGCTAAGCTTTGCATCCTCACAGCTCTGCGATCAGGCCCCGCCCCCCCTCAACACGATTTTTTTTATGACCCGGCACTATTTAAGTATTTACACGTAGTGTCTGAATTCAGCTGGCACCATCCTTCCATTCACTATTAAACCATTTTAATATTTAAATATCAGAGCCCTCCACAGCTCATCACCTCTGTACTGCTCGGACTAATGAGGAAGCATTATACTGAGCAGGTGTGATTTGAATACTTTCAGCCTATCACAGTGCACATTGCTTGTATGAATTAAAATAGCTCAACACAACGAATGCTTCAAGTGGTTTTCCCCAAATTTAACTGAAAATGCAACTTATAATGACTTCTCAGATGTTAAAATTATTCAAACCCTTTATGACAAGCTTCTCTGGTTATGACCTGCTGCAAATGAGATGCAAAAGACCTACCCCCACCTTACCTGGCTGTGACTGCATGACATTTTTTTGAATGTTTTCATTTTTTAGATGTTAAAACTGCTTTAGAGGTTTTGATCTCTGTGACGATACTGCCTTAATATATTGTCTGTGGGTTTCTTTTTACATAACTTGTAGCACTAACCTAAACCACTAAAATGCTAGGACTCCTCTTTGGTAGCGTACGCAGGATATACTGAGCTGAAATCTGGTTACTATATGATATTCTATCCATCCAGTCTTCTGGCAATACTCTTATTAGTAATTACTCTATAGAGGACAATGAATAGCCATATCTTGGGAGACCTCAAGGAAGAGACAACACCAGCTTCTTTCTTGGCAACTCCTCAGAACTCAGAATCACTCTCATTGTTTATTGTATCCAGATCTAGTTTACATAGATCACAGCATACAGTAAAATCAACATTACACAAAACATTCACCAGTGGAAATACAGAACAGGTCACAGGAAAAGAACTACAACGCAACAAAGTGATTCCTTGCAATAGTTACCAGCTCCCGCTGTACCAATATACCATGACAACAAAAGGTTATCTTCATTGGACCCACTGTCCCTTCAGAGAAAGCTCTGGTTACATCAACACAGCCCTGTAATAGATAGACTTGCTGGCTCTAACAGCAGGTGGTCACTCACAGGGCGGCATTTAGCTTGATTAGCCCACAGTATACCTTTCATACCTAACTATACTTTATAGTTTATAAAACTGCTGCCCCCCTTTGTTGACCCACAGCTGCATGTGCAGACACACACACTGCTTTATGTGCATAATATAGGAACACAATACAGCGATATCTAGATACATGGAAAACAGTCACAAAAATAAGGCCATCCTTCACAATCTCCTGCTGAATAATTTAAACTTTAATTACGCACAGGAGGTTCCTTTAGGATCGAAGAGGCTGTTAACAGAATAGAAAATAAGAAATTCTAAATTAAATGGACATTGCAATAAAGGAAATTTAAACATTAGATTAGAGTGTTAAGGAAGGCTATGCATCTTACATGCAGAAATGTGTGACTAGGGCAGAGTGTCACTATAAACAAAGTGATTTAACTTCTAAATTACAGAGAATTGAGCTCTGAAAATGTTGAGACATTATATTTACACCAAAACTGCGTCATTAAGCTTAAGGTATTTTGGTGCCTATAGTATCAATTTAAGCAAGAGTATTTAAACTGGGGTATTGTTAACTAAGACATGCTTTGTGGTTGTAAATACTAGAGTGATTGGTGTCTCTCTTAAGAAGTTAGTGCAACTCACGAAACGCGTAGGACTTGAAAGATCAATGCTACAATGTCTTTGCACTATATGGGACTCCATAATCTAGCTTGGTATATTCAAGCTGGGATTTTTTCCTTTATAAGTTTGTACTGGTAAAAAAGTGAACTTAGTGTCTATTTACTACATATCAAATACCCACCAGCAATCAATAGCACAATGTTTTCCCCTTATTTGCACAGTCTTTGTTCATCTGTCTGTTACAGTTAAAACAATCAGAAGAGTAACCCTTTAACTTGTTTATTTAAACCCTTTCATTTGTCATTTCCTTTTTTTTTTTTTTAACTCACAAGTTCTTTGTTGTATGTTGTCGTTGGGCTTAACATCCTTTGTTTTGGAAAACTTTACTAATTATGAAAATGTGTCATTTTGCATATATCCATTAAAGAATAAAATAAATAAATAATGAATCCAGAAACCCTCATCCTAAAAATAGTCCTACTCAGAATGGTTATAGAATATATCTAAAGGGGAACAGTATGCTACCAACTTTCCATTAAGAATTACAGCTAAGTACAGATAGTTCAGAGACCAGAGTCCAATTATATCTCAAAACCAAATGGACTTGTGCAGACACAAGAAACAGAATAGAATAAAAGAGCGCTACATATACAATATATACAAATATATACCAGCAAATATCTATAGATATTGAACTCTGAATAAAAAAAGTGCTTATACCTACTAAAACGAAACAAACCACCCACCCCCCAAATTAACAAACAAAAATAAAAAAAAAACCTTGATGTATTTTATTGGGACATAGGTGGTTGAGTTCTTGCATGGTGTCAGGTCTGGTGCATGTAGTTATGGTAAACAGAATATCAAGTCTAAAGGGGAAAAAAAAGCTCTAGGGATGCACATGGGTGAACATTTATTTGGATATGTTAATTAATGAATTTCGGTTGTTATAAAATTCCGAAATTATTCATTCGAACAAATCAAATTTTGCCCCCAAAATTTTTAGTTTCTGAAATACGAACGCTCATTATTCCCTATGGGTAATGAATGAAAGTACCTATTGAGGGAATTATCTGCTAACATCCGAAAGATCAAAATAAATTACATTTTATAAATTTTTATATATCATTGTTTAATATATTACTCCCTAATTTTCTATCCTTTAATGGGATTGATTCAAATTACTAATTAAGGGATCTATCTGCTGAAAAGCACCCTAATTTGGTATGCTTAAATATGACAATTCCAAAGGGTACTGATTTAGGAAACTATCCACTAAAGAACTGAAAGAGCAAACGTTTAACCCCTTAAGGACCAAACTTCTGGAATAAAAGGGAATCATGACATGTCACACGTCATGTGTCCTTAAGGGGTTAAAAAAGCCCCTTTTTAAATTTTGCCCTTTCATTTATTTAGTAGATAACTCCCTAATTGTTGTGTAATGATACATTCACAGATATTGATATTCTTGCAAGCTATTGGACAATAGGAAACAGTATTATTTGCATATCATACATACAGTCGGCTGTACATTTTTACACTAAAAGTTTTAAACATCTGATTTGGCTAGATTTCAAACAAAAGATATCAGGACCATGCAGGGAGAGCTTTTCAAGCGCTCCTTGCATAGTCCTACTGCACACTGCACTAGGACTGTACAGTAGGCATTAGGTTATGAGTGCTTCTAATGATGTGCACACACTGTGCTGCCTGGGGACAGTTAAGGTGCATGTTAATAAAATAATAGGGGTCCAGGCACTCCTTGGTTCAAGACAGGCACTTTATTGAGAACCACAACAGCAACGTTTCGACCCCAAAAGGTCTTTGTCAAGCTTGACACCCTGCCAGTGATCCTGAAGGCCCAACATCGCTGTTTCTGTTACACTGCTAAGCAGGTTGGCTCTAGTTCTGTCTGAGTCACTAGGTTTAATCGTGTCCATAATGCTTTACACGGCTTGTCGAATCAAGCGAGGATATCCTCAGAGCATCAACATGGCTCTGCTCCACATCTTGATTTATACTTATGCTGGCTAAAGCTGGTCCACTTTGATGCGCTCAACAGCCTCTTTAGTAGGGACCGGGATGACCACCACCAGTCCAGTGTGTCCGGTATAGCTTTGAAAAACGCAAGGCATAGAAAGGATTCTAACTACAAGGCATTCTATCTATCCACTTGGAGGAAGTGAAATTACACCCACTGAATTGAATAGCAGAACTGATTTATATGTCGGGTGAACTTAATATCTCACAATCAAATTGAAGATTAAAGTTTAAATAAAAAAAATATATAACTCCCTTCTACTACTAAAAGAAGCAGAGAAACAATCTGGAAGGCAATTTACAGAAGTCAGATCTAAGATTGCGCCAAACATTGTTACTTATCACCCAGGCAGATAAGTAAACAGAAAAGCCAGCTTGTAAAGAGACTGTTAAAGGACCACTCTAGGCACCCAGACCACTTCAGCTTAATGAAGTGGTCTGGGTGCCAGTTCCCTCTAGGATTAACCCCTTTTTTTTATAAACCTAGTAGTTTCAGAGAA